CAGATTCGCCACCCGTCGATGAGTCACGACGTGAAGCTCTCTCCGAGGCCCTCATGGAGATTTTGACACAGCATCGGGACTATGATTCCGAAACTGGAAGTGAACCTTCCACATTCAGTGACGAGGCTCTACGCGACCAATTAGCCGAGTTTATTCTGCAAACAACCCGGCAGATCACAGAGCTAAAGCAACGAGTGGAAAGACTCGAAGCTTCGCAACAATAGGTGATCAACCATGTTCATACCACCATTGGGTGCTTTGCAGCGGACGGTTAAAACAACGATTGTCGTTGTTGCCAATTGTGACAGTCAGTGCACTCACTTCACATATGTTTGGTATGCAGCGATTGATGCACTCTTTCCCGCAGCATTTTGCAAAACAACCAGTTGTGTTAGCACCATGGAACAACGCACCAGATCGCGATCTCCCACGGCATCACAATGGAGATGGCATTGGGCCACTAACGGCTCTTCATGGTGGCGTGAGTACTTTATCGCATCTCAAGAGTGGATACGAAAGCATTCGGAGCAACCTGATCAGCGTCCGACATCAACGACTCCTACCCAAAAGGAGACAGTATCTACTACATCAACTCCTACATCCAACAAGAGAAAGCGGTCAAGAACTCCGTGAGCAACATTGCTGAGTTGACAATTAGATGCACATTTGCTGCCCCCGGCAGCCAACAACCACACAGCAAAGCTGTGCTGCGAACTCCATCATTCCTGATGAGGTTCAACATTAAGAGCATCATGTTGAAAGGTCATGCCGGTCGGCGAGGTTGCTCAATTGATGTCTCTGTGTACATCTCTCTCTCTCTTCTGAAGATCAGCGTATGCACATGCCTCAATGCAGTTGTGACTCCGCAGCCATTTCTCAGAACTACAGTTGCTGAAACATATTTAGGATCGCACACAGATGGACGAGGACGACGACAGCAGCCTATGGGGATCCGAAGAGATTGATGCCTTCCTGAGGAAGGATGACACCACCACATCCTCCCATGCAGTCAGTCACACACACAAGCAAAAAACAAAGCACACAACGAGGACAAAAAAGAAGAAAGACAACAAAGACAAAAAGGACAAAACAGTCATGAAAACAAAGAAAACACGCAACATCTCACCACCATCCCAATCCACAACACAGCAACGACGCCAACATCCACATACTACAAGACGAAAGAGGACACGCTCTTCGCATTCAACATCATCAGCGTCACCTACGGCAACGTCACACATGGCTGAGGACGCACACCGGTCTCCATCTCGAGATCCTTGGTCTTCTGACTCGATTGCACCTTACGATATTGTGCATCCTACTATTCAGCACAAGCGGTCCAAAACCGCTTGTGCAAAAATGCTGGTACGTGCAGGTTTTAGGTGTCGATGCCATTTCAAGATCATGAGTGACTGTCCCAACAAACTCGCTGTTGGACCCTAATTCTCAGGACGGATTAGGGCTGCAAGATCCGCTAAGCGTGACAAAAAAGCCTGCGCATGCGAGTGTCAGGACGACACCACTTTGTTGTTTTGCCAGAGCACACATCATGTCCATGTTGATTTGCATTCCTTGTTCAAGCTTTTGTCGGTTGGTAGCAGCAAAAATATGACAAAGCGAAAGGCTGCCGAGGCCGGCCTTCCATGGTACTCCATGGCAGGACAATGTTTTCGGATGACTGTTGAAATTCCACCCGACCGCATCACCAGAGACAAGCACATGTTCTTACACGTGGTGCTTTGTCTGGGTGACAACGTTCTCCAAGCTCGCAAGATCTTCTCCTACCGCATCAAGGAGATCACCGGCAGAACTCCTAAAATCCCAGCTTTCTTCTTCGAACAAAACCGTCGACGACTACATGATTGGGATTCAGTCACCACATTAGCCACGTTGATGCCGGTGCTTTTTGTTAGAACCTGTTCGGATCAGGAAATACGACAATCACCCGATCGCTATTGACAGCGAGAAAAGTGCGCCATTCACTCCTATTGCCGCGCATCAGACCTTTCACTCTACTTGAAGCATGTACGCCCCATTGGGGCTGTGTGTGTGTGAACCTCCCTAGCACATGGGAGCAGAGGGTCACTCCTACACTGTTTGCAATTTCGCTTTTCAACATAATCCGGCATTGGACATTTACCAAATCAACTGTTGCAGGGGAGTGTGGCACTTGCGTCCTACCACACTCAACGAAGCTGTGGATGCAAGTGGGAAGCGGGACCTGATCAGTCCTGTGTACCTGCATGGCAGCCCCCTGTGGTGCCAAGATTAGTTTTGAGGACAGGCCCCCTGTGGTGTCCAGATTAGACAAACAAGTTGTACGGTTGCCACAATCTGACAAAACTTTGCAACATGAACAACATGCCTCTCTCTTTTCCTCTTGCACTCGTACTCTTGGCCGAATCCATCAGTGTGTGTACAAGGATTACACAATATATATATATATATATGTATATATATATATATATATATACATATACATATATGTACATACATATATATATATACATATGTACATATATATATATATATATATATACATACATATACATATATATATATATATATACACACACACATGTATATACATATATACACACATATTATATATATATATGCTCACACCCCCCCCAAGACCTACCGCGAGGTGCTTCGGCTAGCAATGGGTAGTAGAACATGTAAGGATTTGAGGAAACCATTAGGATAAAATACACTCATACATAAACAATGGAAACGTATATCGTGTATAATCAATAGCTGAATACACTGTAATGACCTACGACGGCGCGACATCGCCGTTGGCGGATTTGGGCAAGCTTCAATGCCTGCAATTGTTTAATAGGATAGTGCCTAAATGTTCCGGATATTCATAACTCTGGTCATATAATGACCATAGGCATAACCCGAAGACAGGACCAAGACAGAACAGTGTCTACATCCTACGTAAGATCGTTAGATGCGCCGGGTAACTTTGTGTTTGTCATTGTCTGTTTTTAATTTTGTTCATGTACTCATAGGCATAACCCAAAGACGGGACCAAAACAGAACGATGTGTGCATCCTACCTAGGATCGTAATGAGGGTTACATGTGCACACATGTTTATTCTGTGTGAAGCTCTTAGGTTACTCATGCGCCAATGTGTATAATAGCTATTACTAGTGCGAATACTAATACTGATACTAAGATTTCTATTCCTACGAATAAGGATATTACTGTTCATAACATAATAGGCTTAATGGTTAATACTAGTATTAAAAATTGCACTACTAATTCGAATAGTAGTGCTGATGGGAATATTAACACTCCTGGGGATACTAATACGCATATTCTTATTAACTGTTCTCAATATGAATACTAATAGTACTAGTTGTTTGGAATACTAATACTTGTCCGAATATTCATACCAATACTCAGGCTACTGCGATTATACATAATAGGACATTAATATGGGTATTCGTATTAAGGTCAGCATTTCCTTCGAAAGTATTCATATGCGCATCATAATTCATCTTAATACTCGTACTGATATGAATTAGTATGATTACAAATACTTTTACGAAGACGGGTACTTTCAGTAATACCGATACTAATATGAATACTAGTGTTCCTACGAATATTAAAAAACATACCCATATTGATAGTAATTTTATTTTTTATTTGTTACCAATATAGACGCAAATGCTAACATTAATACTAATATGCACATAAGTGATACAGTTCCTCCGCAGATTAATGCGCATAGTCTTATTAATTATTCTCAGTATTTATATTCACATTAAAAAACCTACACTAACATGAATAGCAGTATTACCACTTGATACTCCAGATAATACGATTATGCATAGTATGAACAGCGATACTGCTATTGATACCAATATTAATGCTCCTACGAATACTAATAATCACGTTCAAACCAAATACAAAAAACAGACACATCAATGTACCAAAGAATCTGTATTTTCACATACCAATAAATAATATACTCGTATACTACTATTCCAATGTTACCATAGACTATGAGACTATACACTGGTTAATATTAACACTAAGAATAAGGCAGAGACTAAGACCAAGACTAATACGAATACTAAAACTCACACTAGACATTAACACTACCATTAGTACACCTATTGTATAGACTTATATTCAGACTAATACTAACGCTGACATTGGAATTGACATTGACACTGACACCAACACTAACAGTAACACGAATCAACACGCTAGAACGCAGATACTAATACTAACACTAATGCCTAATGCACATCTGAAGACTACTGCGCGTAAACAACGAAACCATTTCCGATCAAGCATGCTGCGCGCTGTATTGGCTCTAAGGCTCCGAGAACCAAAAATCCAAAAAACCAAAAAACCAAAAATCCAAAACCTTTGTCAGGGGGGTCGAAACTTTTGGATTTTTTGGTTTTCCTAGGTTTTTTTTGGTTTTCCAACAGAAAACCAAAAAAATCCAAGGTTTTTTTGGTTTTCCAGCAGAAATCCAAAAAAATCCAAGGTTTTTTTGGTTTTCCAGCAGAAATCCAAAAAAACACAGGTGTTTTTTGGTTTTTCACGAGAGACACAGCAGAAAAACCAAAAAAACCTTGTGTTTTTTTGGTTTTCCACCGAAAATCCAAAAAAAGCCATGGTTTCGCCAAGGCAAAGCCCAAAAAAACCAAAAAAGACCTAGGAAAACCAAAAAATCCAAAAGTTTCGGGCCCCTCAGAAAGGCTTTGGATTTTTGGATTTTTGGTTTTTTGGTTTCCGCCGTCGTATCGTATGGTTTCTTTTAATGTTTCTTGCTTATGAATACAGGCATATGAATTTGAAAGCGGACATGAGTAGGCACGACGTTGTAAAGAGACATGACTTCACATCAGCCATGATAGAGAAGGTATCATCCCCGAAAATTACGCAAAACACGAATCGTATGCCAAACGCGAATCCCTGCCAAGAGAAGGTTTTGACGGTATTTACAATGGAAAAGAGGCCGAGGTAGGTCATGGGGGGGGGTGTGTCCATATATATATATGTATATATACATATATATATATATGTATACATATATATATATATATATATACATATATATATAAGCATATATATATACACATAAGTAAGAACAAGAGTATAATCGTGGAACAGATGAATTAGATGGCCAGGTGTAAAGCCCTACATCCCTAGCTCCCCAGACTCCAAACCATGGGTTAAGGCTTGATGGCGATGCCTTAGCAGGTTCTTGGTCTCTTCGCATACGTGAACATGCGCGAGGGCAAGACCGCGACTCGTCTACACTAGATTCAAAACTTGAAGGCGCGATGGCCCCAATTCGCCAACTTCCCCAAAGCCTCCGCCCCTACTGTTATAGTTACAAGCCTGCAAACCCTTGACTACGTAAACCCCGAAGCTCCAAAACCCAAAGCCGCAGAGCCCTCGAGCCCTGAAGCCTTAAACCCCAAACTCGAAACCCTGAACCTTAGACCCTAAACACCCCCTGAGCCCCCCAAAACCATCCAAACCCCTAAGCCCCCTCAACCCCCTGAACCCCCTGAAGCCCATCCAAACCCCCTAAACCTTCTGAAGCCACCCTAATTGGGGTTATGGTACATAAAAGTCCCTAAAATAACCAGTTACTAAGTCCCCCGACCCTCCAAGTAGGCCCTAAGCCCTAAACCCTAAGCCCTTAAAGGATAGATTCCTATAGAACCTTTATAGAACCCCTAGGCCCTAAGCCCCCAAGAAGGCGCACCCCGAAAACCCAAGGACCGCAAGCCCGGGGACTTCGGGCTCCGCGGCTTCTACCCCAGCGACCCCAAGGGCCAGTATGAGATGCAGGCGGACCTGCATCGAGTTTTGATGAGTTAGGATCTTTTAGGGTTTAGGATTTAGAGTTTCGGGTTTAGAGTTTAAGGCTTAGGGTTTAGGATTTATGGTTTAGGGCTGCAGAAGGGCTCTATAAGGTTCGCAGACGGGTAGAAGGGCTTGTATAAAAGGTCTGTAAGGGGGTCCTCCAGCCTTTTTATGGCGGTCTATCAGGTTCTGTTTGGGTTCTCAAGAGGGCCCCTACGCTTGATGATATATCATCAAGAGTAATGTTCCATATGGTGAGCCCAACGAGGGTTTCGGGGTTCAGCGTCTTCGGAGCAGTCAGGTTCTGGGTTCTTGTCAAAGGGTTTCTTTCATTTAAGTTGCCATAATGCAGAAATCATATTATTTACCATCGAACCCCGTCTTTGGAAACTTAGTTAGGCTCCTAAACAAGAACCCAGAAGTTTGCTTGATTTATCCGAAGTCAGGTGAAAGAGCTTCGCAACGGACGACTGGCAATGCTGGCCTACTCAGGCCGGGAGTGCTCCCAATGGTAGCTTTTTGGGGTTTACGGATTACGGCTTAGGGTTCAGGGTTTAGGGTTCGGGTTTAGGGTTTAGGGATTAGGGATTAGGGTGTAGAAGGGGATTTGGAAAAATATGCCACCACGTTTTTCGTCGGTCTCTGTGGCTGCAGCCTGTGAAACGATTTCCTGGTGTTTGCGCAGGGCCGGGTAAATGTACATGGGCTTATATACTTGCAAGGCTCTGCCAGCTTCGTCTACGGTCCTAAGCAACCGCGAGCTCTGTCATTTTCGCAGTCAAGGTTTCCAAGGTTGATGCCAATTTTCTTGAAGGGCTCTCAATATCAAGATAGCTACTATCATAGGAGGCCAAAAGGGATTTTACCCCATGGGGGTTTAGCAGAGACTAGGGTTCCCACAGTAGGGTTCAGACGAAGGATTCCCTACCCCAAGAATCTTAAACCACCCTTTTGGCCTCCCATCATACTATCTCTAAACCCTAACCCTAAACCCCAAAACTAGACTCTAAGAGACGATAGTGCTCATAAAGAGATCTGTGGGGTATTAGCCAGGAGTCTGCAGGACTGGTCATCGCAGAAGTTCCTACTAAAATGGGGAAGTGCTGGGGTTAAGGGTTTAGGGTTCACGGTGTAGGGTTTTGGGTTTAGGGAAAAGAGCACACACTACGGTTGATGACATAAATCCTGCATGACCCATAATAGGGAATATGCCATAATTCCTATACTTTAGGGTCCTGAAGGTAATGCAGGATTTATATCATCAACCGTAGGAGAGTGCGAAGATGCGATGAGTAAGAATACAGAGACGAAGTGGCACAAGGGACTGTGAGCCGACAAGCTCCTTCTTGCCCAAGGATTCGGTGCAAGATCTGCGGGTTAAGACTCTTGCAAAGGATTCTCGGATGTTGGGATTCCCATTCTACTCTGAATTAAGGTGTGCTGAATTAAGGATTGGCCGAGGCTTGGGTGTTGTTTTTCGTACGCTGCGACTCTAAACCTCCATAAGCCTTCATGACACGGTTCAGGTTTAGGGTTGAGGGTCATGTGCTATCAAGACTAGCCATATCTCTAGCCCCTCAACTCAAACGCTCAACATAGTGCAAACGACTGATAAACAGAGCCTTTAGAGCCTTAGGGTAAGGAATGCCCTGCAGGCATCGTCACTTCCGCTGTCCTGACGCAGGAGACTTCGAAGAAGAGAGCGAAAGGGTTAGTGGGCCTGAGTGGTCGCAATTCCTGGTTAGTAACCCTAAACCCCAAACCCTAAACCCTAAACCGTGACCAGTGGACTCTCGGGTTTTGTGCATTCAGGCGAGGAAGAGTTTTGGGGTGTCCAGGGCTTTGGGTTCCGGGACTGTAGGGTTCAATCTAGTCTACTGTGTAGAGTATGCAGGGTTTCTACTACGTGGTGTTTGCGGTTTACAGGGTTCAGGTAGACGTAGAACGATTGTGGAATTCTTTGGGGCTTAGAGTTTGTGTAAGCGACAAAGGCTTTAGGGTCGAGATGGTTGAGATACTGTTGATGGACAAAATCCTGCATGACCCTAAGGACTCTAAACTATGGGAACTATGGTATATTCCTTGTAATGGGTAATGCAGGATTTTGTCCATCAGCAGTCTGCAGGCTCACGGTTCAGTTGCAATCGTGTTACCCTCTCTCTGTTGTTGCCAGCGGTGCTTATAGTTTGCCGGGGTTCGGTTTCTGTTGTGATCTCGGCCGCGCAGGAGAAGTGGCCTTTCTTCGATGTTGTCCTGAACGCCGTGGCCAAGGATGACCAGGCAAACCTTCACGAGTCTTCAGCCCGAAGAGGTCATTCAGGGGCTTTGATCAGGAGCCGAAGACTTGTCGTGGGTGCAATGTGTTGGGCGCAGACAGTTACCGCTTTGAGCTGAATCCCGGCACCTTAAACCCTAAACCCTAAACCCTAAACCCTAAACCCTAAACCCTAAACCCTAAACCCTAAACCCTAAACCCTAAACCCTGAGTGTCCGAGACCCTCAGCTCGAGATCCCAAACTCAAAATCGCTAGATCCTAATGAAGCTATTTAGCCCTTGCTTAACTGCTAACTCATCAACCCTTCAGCACGCGAGTTCTGAACCCTCTGCGGTTTTATACTGCGTGTCGAAAGCTCCCGGGAGATTGATACTAATACAGTTACTCGTCATGCTGATACGAATGCTAATACTAATAAATACGAGTATCACTACTAATACTGATACTATTGCCAATAAACCCTAAACCCTAAACCCTAAACCAATACTAATGCCGACAAGTTTGGGATTCAAGGTGCAAAAGCCTGCATGCTGCGACTTCCTGAACGAGCCTCGGGCTCCAGCTAATGGTAAGTTACTACGGTTGATGATGTAAATCCTGCATTACCTTAAGGACCCTAAACTATGGGAATTATGGTATATTGTCCATAATTCCCATAATGGGAATTATGGTATATTGCTTATCATGGTTAATGCAGGATTTATATCATCAACCGTAACTCCCAGCCAGGCCTCTTCCTTCTGCGGTGCCGCTGCGGCCAGCCGCCCTGGGGCACGCACGGCGGAGTCGGCCCTGTCTTTCGGGTTAGGGTTTAGAAAGAGTTTAGGGTTATGGGCTTTTAGGGTTAAGGGAACCCTATAAACTTTGAGCCCGGTTTAGAGGGTTTAGAAAGAGTTTAGGGTTATGGGCTTTTAGGGTTAAGGGAACCCTATAAACTTTGAGCCCGGTTTAGAGGGTTTAGAAAGAGTTTAGGGTTATGGGCTTTTAGGGTTAAGGGAACCCTATAAACTTTGAGCCCGGTTTAGAGGGTTTAGAAAGAGTTTAGGGTTATGGGCTTTTAGGGTTAAGGGAACCCTAGGCACTCCAACTTTGAGGCCCAAGCCCGGAAATCCCCAACCACAACCGAGCCCCCCAAGACCTTGAACTCGCAAAAAAATCCCGGTAGTTTTTAAATCCCGTTGGGATTCGGAATTTATTCTACCCTCATATCCCCTGAAACCTCCTAAACAAAAGTGCCGAAACATACCCTAAACCCTATAAGCTTACGGGTACTTAGAAATACTTCTTAATTTTCAGTTATTAAAATCCCTAAGAAAACAGCTAACGTTATGATTTTTGCTAGGGTTCTAAGTTTAGTATAGATAAGCCCTATCTTTCTTTCAACTCGAGGGATTTAGGAGTCCCCGGTCAGAAGAGCTTCGGGAAGAAGCTCCTCATCTCGAGAACTGGGAGCCTTCAAAGCTCCCCAAGGGTTCCAGCATTCGTATGGGAGTTTCCGAAAAGTGGGGTACCTTATTTTGGGCTGCTTATGATAAGGATCCTACTATTTAGGGTACTATATTAGGGTCCCCCATTTTCGGGAACTCACGTTTCGTGGATCTTTAAGGGTTCTACGAGACGTTCTAAGTGCTTCTACAGGGGATTAGTACCGCAAGGGTTCCACTATTCGTAGAATGGGTCATGTAAGGGTTCTATAAGCGCTACTACGAAGGTTTTATGCTTTCAAAGCTCCCAAAATGTTCCTTCTGTATGATGGACCCTTTAAGGATTCTATGAGTGGTGCTACAAGACATCAAAGCTCCCAAGCCTAGACTAGATACTTAACCGCAGTCCCTAAACCCCGGACTGTTTGTCCTCAAACCCTTTGGGCGCCTAAGACCACAAAAATTCCGTGACACCGTACAGAACTTCTTGAACTGCCGACAGCCCTCAGCTGAGCGCCCTCAACGCCCCTCATCCCTAAACTAGCTTTTTTTCCCTGTGCCAGGTGTGCCGGGCCTCTTCCAGCAAGAGCCTTCCCTTCCTGCCTGGACCTCATGAGGGTCTTTGCCTTTCTCTGTCGGCATAGGGGTTGAGGATTGAGAAGGTTTAGGGCTGCAGGTTTCCAGGGTTCAGGATCGCAACCTAGGCTTCCCTGTCAGACTCTTCATATAGGCAGCTGAGTGATTTCAACAAGGTTTTGGGGTAGTTGTAAATTCGATTCTAGGATAGTTCAAGATATCACTTGTTGTAGTGATATAGCGATTCTGGTCTAGTCATTCTTGTGCTTGGGGGTGTTGTTGCTACTCTTTTATGACTGCTTCCCATCATGTGGGGTCAGTTGCTGAACGGAGATTGGTATCCTCGCTGACTTTGTGGCGGGCTTCACAGTGGGATGAGCTTGCTAAGAAGCAGCACCCGTAGATTCCTGTCCACGCCAAGATTTACCTTCAACCCCAAACATCCCGAACATCCCGCAACCCTCAACATTTTACGAATCCACAACCCAAGAACCCTTCAAGAACCTTGTTGGGCACCGAGAACCTTTCAGCCTTAATCAGCCAAGGCCCAAGCCTCAGAATCTCGGCGGCCTGATCGGTGGCGAGGCCGGATGAGTTTTAGGTTTTAGGGATAAGGGCTTAGAGTTTAGGGTTTAGAGCCGTGGCTGTAAACCATGGGGCCTTTTCTCGCGCCCGATCTACACCACACGGCAGGAACTCCGGCTTGACCCCTAAACCCTAAACCCGACTTCCTAAACCCGAAACCCCAAGCTGGGAATTGGCAAGGCTTGGTCAGTTCCCAACCCTACAGCTGCTCTCGGCGTCTCCGTAGAACCGCATAAGTCAGTACAGCCGTATAAGCCCTTCAAAGAAGAGTAAGCTTCGGTAGACTCTAAACGCCTCAAGCCTACAACCCTCAGGCCCAACTTTCATAGATCCCTCTTTCTAAACCCTAAACCCTAAACCCTAAACCCTAAACCCTAAACCCCTCTTACAGATTTCTATGAAACTGTGGACCTTCTGTGAGACAGCGGCACTCACCAAACCCTCAGAGAAGAAGTTTGGAGGTTTTTTACCTTTGACCCCTATGAATCCGCCATTGAAAGCCGTACCACCCGAAGAAGCCGCAAAACTGAACTCTAAACCCTAAGCCTGAATCCCTAAACCCCTAGTAGCGTAGAATCTTCGCCCTAGCTTTAATCCCTTGCCCAGAGAGCCCAATACCCCTTAATTAAGGAATATAGCTTAAATCATAATATGAAGCCCTGTATAATTTAAGGTATATTCCTTAGTTAAGGGGTATTGGGCTCTCTGGGTGACCCAAGCCCTGAATCCGAGATCGTCCGAATGTGTTGTCAGGCCGAGTTCGACCCTCTTGGCTTCTCCGACCTGATCGACGCGGCCTGGCAAAATCCTTCAGCCCTCATGCGAACACCATTTAGTGACAAGGGTTCCTTCAAGGGAATGCTTGAAGCAATCCTAAAGGTTCCTTCAAAGGAGCCGTTAAGGGTTCCTTTCAGGGTTCTATAGCGTTCTGCCAGGTTTCCTTGTCGGGTTCCTTGAGGAGTTCCTTTAAGGCTTCCACTAGAGGTTCCCTCAGTGTCTAGGTCGTGATACAGACCGCTTACGGGTAAGTAGCATGGTCTCCAGCAAAGTAGTGTAAAGTCTTGCTTTTATGATCAAGGCTTTAACATAATAGGCTCTCAGCCTGTGAAGACTAAGTCCACCATCCTAGCTCGCAAAGCTAGAACCCCGACGCTCCTTTGCACCGAGGGTTTTGGAACATGTATCTCGTTGCCACTGTCATCAAAGTCGTTCTTGTCCGCATTGTTGGCACTGTGTTTGCTATCATTATTTTGTATCATCACTATCATCACTGCCGTTCTTGACTGTATTGCTTGCTGTCATATCTTTCCCATCGTTTCTTGCTGACATCTTCGTCTTCATCTACACACACACACACGTCTCTCTCCCTCTCTCTCTCTCTCTCTCCCTCTCTCTTTTCTTTCAAAAAATGTGCATGTATGTACGTATACATATATATATATACATATGTATATAATGTGTGTGTATATATGTGTATACACATATATATATATATATATATAGACATGTTTGTAGATATGTACATACATTCACGCCCAGATCAAGTGGCTGCGCGAGTCCGAGCTCAAGCATGGCCGCACCTTGGCCTGTTTCGATCCTGAGGTAGCCTAGGGGTACTTAGAAATAATTTTATTTTTGGTTATCATAATCCCTAAGAAACAGCTAAAATTGTAATTTTTGCTAGGGTTCTAAGTTCAGTAGAGGTAGAATCTAGCGGCTCTTTCCTTCTACAGCGTTCGCAGATTTCAGAAGTCCTAAGAATGAGTGTGTGGGCTCCAGACCTCCCAACCCTACTCCGCAACCCCCGTTGCGAAGCCTTCGACACCGGAAGCTTGAGTTATTCGCTTTCGAAACTCGAAAAGTGACGTGCTCCTGCAGGCCCAAGTTACCCATACCCCAGCAGCTAATCATTGTGTGATCTAGCGGCTTACCCAGAAACCACCGTCGAATTCTTCAGGCTGTGTGCTGACTTGCCCCCTGAGGCGTAAAACCTTAAACCCTAAACCTTAAAACCCTAAACCCTTGAACCCTAAACCCTAAACCCCTGACCCTAAACCCTAAACCCCTGAACCTCTGAACCCTAGGCGTGTGCATGCTGGCGACCATCGGCTTCGTCGCAGAGCAGTACTGGCAGCTCCCGGGTCACTGCGCTGCAAAGCCCAGGGAGCCAGGAATCTACATATATATACAGACATGTTCATACATATATATATATATATATATACACACATGTTTATATGTCTATATATGTATATATATATATATATATAGACATATGCATATGTATTGATTGTGCTTGCTGGCTTGCTTGGTTGGTTGTTTTGTTGCTTGCTTGCTTGGTTGATTGATCGATTGATTGATTTATATCGTCTGTAGTTTAAGGTATACTCCTTCATTATGGGGTATCTCCTTCATTATGGGGTATTGGACTCTCCGGAAGCGGCTTTAGGATTTACTGTTGTCCAGCCCCGAATCCGAATGTTGAAACCAGATGGGCAGCGCACTGCACCCCAACCCCCCCAAAAAGAGACACCGAAGGTGAAGCCAACGCGCTGGTTAAGCCTTAAACCCTAAACCCAAACCCCTAAACCCTAAACCCCAAACTTAGACAGTAGCCTAACGTGGCACCTTGCTTGCCTTCCCAGTCTGGATCTTCAGCTGCATCTAGCAATTCGGGAAAAGAGGTGCTTAAGAAACCAAAACTTCAATAGTCCGTGGCCCAGGCTCAGGACGGCCTCGTAGTGAACTCCGCGCCCCTGTGATCAACCTCAGGCCCTACAGGACCCCGGCGATTTGTTTTAAAGGATCCCGATAGTACCTATAGTCTCCATTGTAGTTCCTTTTTGGGGGGTTTAGGGTTCCTTTAAGGGGGTCTAAGGTTCCTTTAGAGGGGTTTAGAGGTTAGGGTTTAGGGTATAGTCTCCATTGTAGTTCCTTTTTTGGGTTTACCTTATAGGATCCGTAATGTATAATTAGTTAAACCAAAAAAAGGAACTACAATGGAGACTATACCCTAAACCCTAACCTCTAAACCCCTTTAAAGGAACCTTAGACCCCCTTAAAGGAACCCTAAACCCCCCAAAAAAGGAACTACAATGGAGACTATAGGTAACCAGTATTCCCGAAACCCCGAGCACCAGTGAAGACATGTGAAGACCTCCAGATCTGGTTGGGGATGTGCAGACCCTGGGTGGTACGGTTGATGATATAAATCCTGCATTACCTTAAGGGCCCTAAACTATGGGAATTACGGCATATTCCTTATTGTGGGTAATGCAGGATTTATATCATCAACCGTAGGATGTGCGTTTTTCCTGGAGGTCGTCTGGAGCAGAGGGAGGGCGTAGGGTCAGGTCGTACGGTCGTACGGCCTATGCCGGCCTGTAAACTCGAAGCGCAACCAAACACCAAGCCCAAAACTAAGCATAATCGCGAATAGCACGTGAAAGCCTAAACTGAAACCTAAACCCTGGAACCCTAAAACCCTGAATCCTTGGCCTTCCGATTCGCAGTTCTGACCCCAGCCTTGCTGAGGCTTCGATGCGGCACCCGATGCCCTTCAGGCGACTGGCTGCCAGCCTGTACATAAACCTTTTAAGATATCTTTAGGCGTTCTTCTTGGGTTCCTTTACAGGGGGTCTATAAGGCCTGCTATAAGAACTATAATAAGGTTTTGCTAGAGGGGCCTAATTACCTATACCATTTTGGGCTTCATGATTATACGTATAGTATAGTGGGCCGCAAACCCTAAACCCTAAACCCAAAACCCAAAACCCTAAACCCTTAAACCCAAAACCCTAAACCCTAACCCCTTAACCCTAAACCCAAAACCCTAAACCCTTAAACCCTAACCCCAAAACCCTAAACCCTTAAACCCAAAACCCTAAACCCTAACCCCTTAAGGCTCCTATAGGAGTGACATCCTCAAAACCTGCCGAAAACATCCCCACACCGTAAAACCAGCTCCGGAAACATCAGAAAAAAGAGCAAACCGGGTAGCCCCTCCACTCCAAGGCTTAGAGACTTCAGAAAATAGGAGGCCAAAAGGTTTTTTTTTTAGCCTATGGGGGTTTAGAAGGGGTTAGGGTTCCCACAATAGGGTTCATACTCAGGAATCCCTACCACAAGAATCTTAAACCCCCCTTTTGGCCTCCAACCATCAGAGTTTCGGCCCGGTGTTTAAACCTTAAACCTACCCTAAACCTCAAGACCCTAAATCCCAAATGGGTGGTTGTCAAAATTATGGTCCCTTTTTGGGTCCCTATTATGATACGGCACCGAATATTTAGGGTACCCAAAAAGGGACCATAATTTTGACAACCACCCAAATAGAGGCTGGGTTTCAAGGTTTAGAGCTGACAGTTTGAGTCTTCGCGGTTAGAGCAGCCAGAAATCCTAAGCCACAAGCCTATTTCTAAACCTGAGACCCTGAATTCTAAGCCCTAAAGCCTAAACCCTAAACCCTAAGCCCTAAGCCCTAAGCCCAGTGTAGGCTTGAAGGTGTCGGGTTCAGGGATTCATGGTTGCAGGGCCTTACTGTTGATGATATAAATCCTACATTACCCATAATAAGGAATATACCAGAATTCCCATAGCTCAGGGTCCTTAAGGTAATGCAGGATTTATGCCATCAGCCGTAGGAGTGCTCAATACAATTAATTCCAGAGTTTCAGAAAATGGGATCTTAACATCGATCCGGTGATGCCTGAAGCTTTGGACTTGATGGTTCAGTTTTTCTTTGAGGGGGCTCTAAACCCTAAACCCTAAAACCCCAAACCCTGGGGGGGGCGGGGGTGTCAGGCTTTTGGCTTCGGGTTCGCTGGCGTGAGTGTCCGGTGCTTGGAACTGAAGGGCTAGGACCTAGAGTTGTAGGGTTCAGGTTCCCTTATAAGCCCTAAACCCTAAACCCCCAAACCAAAAAGGGCATCCTTTGTATTCCTAGGTTACTCTTGTGCCTAGAGGGTGTCAGAGTTCGGTGTTGCGGGCACCTGGAGCCCTAGCCCTAGGATGGACGTGATGTGACGGAAGCAGGTTTAGGGGTTTAGGGTTTAGGGTTTGTTATCTTTACATTCCGGTTTTGTAGGGTTTAGGTTGGGGTTTGGGGTACTACTGGTAGGGCGCAGAGTGTTCTTAGAGAGAGTGTCGGGGATTGCATCTGGAGAGTCTTTCTCTCTGAGATGAGGGTTGCTTGTCAGCCCCCTGAACCAAACCCTAAACCCTAAACCCGAAACCCTCTGAAGAAACAGAACCTATTTTGCATTGGAGAACCGTTGAATTGCGTTAACGAACCTGAAAGCCTGACAGAAATCCCCACATTACCATTCGCAGGCCATCTACGTCGCCCCGTTGAACGCCACGGGCGTGCTGCTCTTCTTGGCGGGCTACATTGAGACTTGGTCTGGGTGTTGGGGTTCTGGATTTGGGGGTTTTCGAAAAGTAGGGGTACCCTTTTTTTGGGGTCCCTATGTATGGTACTATATTATTAGGGTCCCCTATTTTCGAAACTCCCATTTGTAGTTTCAAAACAAAAGAGATAGACCCTAAACCCTGAACGCTAAACGATGATACTAAACCATACACCCTAAACCCTACACCCTACAACCTACACCCTAGTTTCAAGAGCAAGAGCTCCGAGAAACCCCACCTTAGATTCTGCACCCTGCATCCTAAACCCGCATTCTCTAAACATGCTAGGCCTCAAAAGCGATACCCCAGACCCTAAACCCTCTTGGAAGAAGCCTTGAGCCCGCAGCTTTTGTCAGGAAGAGGGCGAGACGTTTCGGTGAAGGCGTTTTTTGATTGTGTTATGGGGTCATACGGGTAATGAAGACCGTGCTTACCCGGTACCCCATATCACGTAATCCTTTGGACCCCAATTCGTGCTTGTTCGTGTTTTGGTGCTCGATGACAGGGTGGTCTTGCACGATGCTTCGTGGTTTTAGACTTGCTGAGGAGAGTGCCAGCTACGGCGGCAAGAAGCCTGGCAGCAAGAAGGGGTGTTAACATGAAGTAGGGTCGATTTGGCGGGTTTTGGCGGGTGTCTATTCTGGAAATTGGTGAGTGTATACTTTCAACAACCACAATACCCCATATGGTGAAACAACAAGACTTCCCCGGCTTTCGTAGGAGTCTGAACTTAAACAGATGACCGAATTCCTACCGAACATGGTGTTCCAGCGGCATTCCCTAAATTTCGAAATCCCCAGCACTGAAAGGGCTACAAAGCTGGGCCCCGAATAAGAGTCTTGTTTCATGACGCCTATAGTAAGCAGCTCGTCGCTGTCCTGACTGAACACAAGCACCGCATTGGCATCTCGACAGTGACCACCACCTTCCTCATGTCTTATACAGCAGTCCCGGGCGTAGCGGAGGGGAAGATGAACCTCCTGCCCCCAGATGCCCAAGGTGAGACCCGAAGGATACGCTAACTGCGTCCTGCAAGCTCTCTCGGGAGTGGCTGCGGCCGTCCGCAACGTCGAGTTGTGAGCGATGGAGATGGTCTATCCCAGACTGGCGCAGTGCGTGCCGGCCGACGACGCCGAGGCGCACGTGCAAGTTGTCGCCACCACCAAGCCCCCGCGAATCATGCCGAGACCGTGTCAGAAGACACACTGCTCGACGATGCTACCCGACCATGCTGAGTAACAACCTTCATCACACCTCTTGAGGTCCTTGAAACACGGAAGATTTCAATCACAGGAGCTTTGCTTTGGGGACCTCGTGAAACGGGCAAACTGACCATTGGCTAATTCGGAAAAGACCTCACTCGCTAAGCCTGAAGTTGCGAGTACTGGTTGCAAGAACACCCTAAACCCGAAGCTTGGTAGAACCCCAAGAAGCCGATCACGAGGCCTACAGAAACCATCTAGAGGCCTTATAGATGGGTGGATGTCAAAATTGGGATCCCTTTTGGGGTAATTATAATAGGGACCCAAAAGGGACCCTAATTTTGACAACCATAATAGCCATCACAACGAAACCTACCTATAACACGTTGTCACATCCCTAGAACTTGGCCCTACAACAACCATTGTTAGGCTCCCAAGCCCCAAAGCCTTACACAATTTTGCGAAGCCCTGTAAAGACTCCCCTAGACCCCAAGCCCTCAAACCCTAAAGCTTTTAACCCCCAAACCCGAAAACGACAGCGCTGAACCTTGAAGCCCTGAAATTCGAAGCCTGAACCCTTGCAGAGCCTATCATAGAGCCCTTCAGGACTCTAAGGCCTAAGCCTTAAACCTTAAAAGCTAAGGATCACGATGCTGGACATGTTCGAGGGCGATGGCGCGAGCCGTGCGCCTGGAGACCTGCAACCTGGCACAGATCTTTGCTATCGTTAGCACCACCGCTACTACCACTACTACGACTACTGCGACTACTACGACTACGACGACGACGACTCCTACTACTACTACTACTACTACTACTACTACTACTACTACTACTACTACTACTACTACTACTACTACTACTACTGCTCCTGCTCCTGCTCCTGCTCCTGCTGCTGCTGCTGCTCCTGCTACTGCTACTGCTACTGCTACTGCTACTGCTACTGCTACTGCTACTGCTACTGCTACTGCTACTGCTACTGCTGCTACTACTACTACTACCACTACTACTACTACTACTACTACTACTACTACTACTACTACTACTACTACTACTACTACTACTACTACTACTACTACTACTACTGTTAATAGTATTTTCATTACAGCAATTACTATTGTTGTTATGACTATTGTTACTAGTATTGTTCTTACTATTATTGATTTGTGCGAGTCTTCTTCCCAGTATTCTTATGCTGAATATGACTATGATGATTATCATGGTGAGTCTTGCCCTTTATTTTTCTCTCATGTTTAACCTTACTGTTTTTTATATTACGTTCATTGTTGGACATCTTATTTCTGTCCTTATCATCTGTTGGAATACAGTGTTTCTGTTGTTTGGCAAGTCAGGGCTCAGAGTTATGAGGTTCCGAGTTCACAATGTCAGCGTCTAAATTTGGGAGGTTTAAGATAGAGGTTTGGTGCCGCTTGATCTTAGGATTCAGCACGGTCAAGCTTTACATCTGCTTTTTAGTTCTAACTTTAGGGCTTGGGCATTTCGGTTTGCAGGGGCTTATTGGGTTAAGAGTGTACGGTTCAGGGTTAATCGAGGTTGAGGGGGTGATCTTTCCAGAACCGAGGGGCAAGAGTAGAGATGCTCAGCATTGTTCGAAAACCAATGCACTGTATCAGGCACCACAAGACTTACAAGCCACCGCCAAAACCCGCCGAAAACCCTTCCTCAACCCGAAACTGTCAGCCCTCAACCGTAACTCCAAACCCTAAGGCCGTGAACCCCTAAACCCCATAGTACAAACCTCAACCGTAACACCCTAAACCCCTACACTACAAAAGCCCGCGAAGCTTGCCCAGGGACTTCGGCAAGAGGTTCCTCCCGCAGGACAAGGCAGCGGCCGATGATCTGGCCTTGAAGGACAGGTGGTTGTCAAAATTATAGTCCCTTTTTGGGTCCCTAATATCATACGGCACCTACTATTTAGGGTTCGTTTAAGGGTTCCTCTAAGAGCTGTATCGGGTTCACTTGAGGGTTCCTGCAAGGGCCGTGTCGGAGATTCTTTGAGGCTACCGTTACGGGTTCTATAAGGGATTTCGTAAGGGCTCTCTGAGGGCTCTAGAAGGGGTCATGACTGCTTCGTATGCGATCGATGAATGCCACTACTATCCTGATTGCGGTTGTCATTTTTGTTTTTGTGAGTATGATTATGATTATGATGAGAATTGCTTCTATACGGCCTTTTATGATTGCTCGTGTTATTCGTTTTCACCACGATTCTTTACACAAGGATTACGATGAGAGTCCCAGAGGATCATCACTTGCTTTGTCGTCACTCGGGTAGTTCAAACTCTAAACCCTAAACCCTAAACCCTAAACCCCTTAACCCTAAACCCTAAACGCTAAACCCTAAAGCCCTAAACCCTAAAACCCTAAACTCCCGCACAAGGTCCGGGTCTGGTGCTCCCATGCTTCTTGAGCATTTAGGGTTTCCCGGAGCCTTTTAAACCCCAGACCCTGGACCCGAAACTCTAAACCCCAGATCCTACACCCCAAACCCTAAACCCTAAAAGCCTAAACCCTAAACTCTGAACCTTAGTCCCTAAAACCCTAAACCCCAAACCCTAAACTCTAAAACCCTAAACCCTAAACTCTGCACCTTAATCCCTAAAACCCTAAACCCTAAACCTAAAACCCTTAAAACCCTTTGGCCGCGCTCCCGGGGAAATGCAAAGGAGCTGACCAACGGACGCCTCGCCATGCTGGCCTTCTCAGGCAGCCAAGGGATGCCTCGGAGGGTTGATCATAGGAGGCCAAAAGGGGTTTTAGCCTATGGCGGTTTTAGTAGGGATCAGGGTTCCCATAATGGGGTTCATATTAAGGACTCCCTACCCCAAGAATCTTAAACCCCCTTTTGGCCTCCCATTAGTTGATAAGTGTTGATCGAAGGGTTCTGTAGGATTTAGGGTTCAGGGGGCATTCCGACCTAGCGTACAGGAGTTTCGAGTTTCGAGGCTTGCCGATTGCCTACACCAGGCTTTCAGTCTACAAGGAATGCCGATTGTACCACCAAGGAGCTGTTTTCCATCAATGACTTTGGTTGTTTTAAGAAACGGCGAGACAGCTCCTTCATTGGAGTCTAATGTGGGATATATATATATATATATATATATATGCATATACATATACATACATATATATATATATATATATTTATCGAGCTCCTTCATTGGAGTCTAATGTGGGGCATATATCGCAACCGCGATATGCCTATCAAGGGCCAGAGACCTCCAAGTCAAAAATCCGAAACCCCCCAGGGCCGCAAAACTCTAGAACCCTCAAGCCCGAAAGGATCTAACTAAAACCTGCAAGCTTGAACTCTAAGTCATAGGGTTTTTTTTGGGGGTGTAAGGGGGAGGGGGCAGGGGACTATACTTCCTTAGATAGCCTTATTAGGTCCTGACTATGGGCATTAAGGCCCCCTACCCCCGTCCCCCTACCCCCTAACGGTCCTTATGACCTAACTAAAACCTGCAACCTTAAACCCCAAACCCCTAAACCCTATACCCTGTACCCTAAACCCTAAACCCTTAAACTGTAAGACTGAACGGTTAGCTGAGCTCATGATGACGTCAATCGTAAACCCACGCAGCGCCCTGGCCCTAGCCCTAAACCCTAGACCCGGAAATCCCCAAAACCCGAAACCCCAAACCTTACATGAATCTTCAACACCAAGCCCGGAAACCCTAAAATACTAATTCTGCAGCCTTTATCTAAACCTAAACCCCAAACTCCTGACCCTTATCCCCGTAGTTTTATCAACCCTGCGACCGGCGGCATGGAGCCCTGTAAGCAAGCACGCTAACCCTGAACCCTATCAGCCCTATAAGCACTAATCCCTGAACCCTAAACTGGCCCTAAACACTATAAGCCCTATAAGCCTTATGCGCCCTAAGCCCGCAACCCTCTAAACACCTTAAACCCGCAAGCCTTAAACTCCATCTGCCCTAAACCTTGAGACCAAAGGCTAAAGCTATAAGCCCTACAAGCCCTACAAACCCTACAAGCACTACAGACCTTATAGGCCCTAAGCCCCTAACCTTATAGCCCGAAACCCTCAACCCCTACGCCCTAACTCCAAAACCCTAAACCATGAGCCCATCGCCCTAAACCCTGAACCCTGCAACCCATAAGCCCTATCAGCCCTAAACCATGAGACCCGGAGGCATGGTCCATCACAATCTCATCGTCAAGGGCCCGCTCTTCCCGCTCTTCCCCGAGGGCTACACAGGGCCCCAGGCAGGGGGGGCTCCAGCCATTCCGGAGGGACGCACAAGATTCCAGCAATTGAGGATAGGGTTTGGGGTTTGGGATTTGGGGGTTTTGGGGTTTTGGGGTTTAGTCGCTTAGGGTTTGGGGTTGTATGTGAGGACAAGTCACGAAAGTTCCTGGACTCATAATGAGAAAGCTTGTGTAGATGAAGGCATAGTTCAGGCGAATCGCATGATGTCGGAGTGTTAGACTTCAGGGATTAGGGACCTTTAGCCTGTGGGGGTTTGTATTACCCTACCATGATTTCAACCGTTAACCTTTTTTGGGCTAGGGATGGAGTTTAGTTTCAGGGGGCCTTTGCGTGGCATGGTCCCGGGGTTTGGGAATTTGAATTTGGAGTTGGGGTTTGCAGATTGTTATCTGGGAGTTTCCGAAATTAGGGGACCCTAATATAGTACCCTAGATAATAATAGGATCCTTATTATAAGGACCCCAAAATAAGGTACCCCTAATTTTCGGCAACTCCCATCCATTCCAAACAGCCGGACCCTCAACCCCAAAACCGCAAGCAGTTTTTGTTTGGCACTCGGACTGAAGGCACTTTGAGGTGGCCGTTTCTGGCCACGCCAGCTTTGTAAAGGGCATGGGTCATGCACACACCCAGCTTTGAGTTTGGGCGCAGCCGTGTAGTTCGAAGCCCGAAGCCCAAGACTCTTCCTGAAGGGAACTGTCTGCAGTCGCGCAGCCCCAAACCCTAAGTCGTGAAAGCCCAGAGCAGGCAGAATCCTTATCACTAGGCCCTGGGCCCTTGGCCCACATTCTGTAGCTCCAGACCCTGAGCCCCATTCCTGCCCGAACACCCTCCTATCTGTAGCACCCTAAACCCTGAAGCCCCAAAGCCCTAAAGCCCTAAACCCGAACGCTTAAATCCTTACAATCATCTCCCTAAAACAAAACCCTAAGCCCGAAGGCCCCAAAGCCCTAAGCTCGAAAGCCCATGCCTTTAGCCCCTAAAGCCTAAACCCCTAAACCCTAAACCCTAAACATCTCTAAACCCTAAACCCTAAACATCTCTAAACCCTAAACCCTAAACATCTCTAAACCCTAAACCCTAAACATCTCTAAACCCTAAACCCTAAACATCTCTAAACCCTAAACATCTCTAAGTCTCTAAACCCTAAACCCTTAGCCCAAGTCTGTCACTGATGCCAGGGCTCCTGGGACCTCGACAGCGTGGCGGGCGCACTGCAACTCGGACTCTGGGGGATCCGTACTTGGAGGTTCTATGGGTTGTTTTCAGGGTTCCTTTAAATGGCCCCTTTAAAGAGATCTATAGGGATTCTATAAGGGTATAGGGTTTAGGGTCTACTTGGAGGTTCATGGGTAGTTTTAAGTGGGGTTATAATTACGGTAACTATGGTTATGACCCCAGTTAGGGGACTTATGACCCTATGTATAACCACCCATGAACCTCCAAGTAGGGTCTGGGCCAGCGGCCAGCGGCTAGCCTGCGCGGTTTAGGGATACTTCGACCCCAAACCCCAAAGCCCTAAACCCTTGTGCCAAAAAAATGGAAATCCTAAAATCCCAAAGACCTACCGCCTTCAACCCGAAACCTTAACACTCTTGAGCCTAAGACCTAGAACCCTAAAAACCCTAAAGCGCTAAGACCCTAAAACCCGAAGCCCTAAAACCCTAAAGCCCTAAAGCCTTGAAGCCTAAACCCCCAAAGCCCCTAAAGCCCTACCCAGAGAGCCCAATACCTCTTAATTATGGAATATACCTTAAATTATAGTAGGATCCCTAGTATGATTTAAGGAATATTCCTTAGTTAAGGGGTTTTGGAGTCCCCTAAACCCTAAACCCTGTAGATCCCTTATAGATCCCTTAAAGGAACCCTTATAGACCCTTTAAAGGAACCTTATTGGAGTCTCTGGGAACCCTCCGAGGCATCCCTAAACCCTAAACCCTAAACCCCCTAACACCCCTAAACCCCTAAATCCTAAACCCTAAACCCTAAACCCTAAACCCCCTAACACCCCTAAACCCCTAAATCCTAAACCCCTAAAGCCCTAAGCATTACGAGTGAGCCTTGGAGCCTTACGAGTTCGGGCAGCTCAGGAACAGCGGCCGCATGGGGCTCTAAGTTCAGCCCGGGGCTCGGCTTTGTTTGGGGTTTGGGGTTTAGGGGTTTAGGGGTTTAGGGGTTTAGGGGTTTAGGGGTTTTGGGGTTTTAGGGGTTTAGGGTTTGGGGGTTTAGGGGTTTTGGGGTTTAGGGGTTTAGGGGTTTAGGGGTTTAGGGGTTTTGGGGTTTTAGGGTTTTGGGGTTTTGGGGTTTAGGGGTTTTGGGGTTTTGGGGTTTTGGGGTTTAGGGGTTTTGGGGTTTTAGGGGTTTAGGGGTTTAGGGTTTAGGGTTTAGGGTTTGGGGTTTAGGGTTTAGGGTTTACGGTTTTGGGTTTGGGGTTTACTTAGAGGTTCATGGGTAGTTATAAGGGTTCCATGTAAGGGTCCCTTTAAAGCGATCTATAGGGGTTCTATAAGGGTTTAGCGTTTAGGGTCTACTTGGAGGTTCATGGGTAGTTACAAGTGGGGTTATATTTAGGGTAAGTAATATTGTTATAATTCCTATTAGGGAAATTACAACCCTACTTATAACTACCCAAGGGGGTTTAGCGTTGAGAGCTTAGGGCTCAGGGGTCTTGGGTGTAAGGTTCAGAGTTGAGGGTTTAGGGGTTTAGGATTGAGGGTGTAGGGGCTCAGGGTATAGCGTTTAGGGTTGAGGGTTTAGGGTTCCATATGGTTCTACAAAGGTTCCCGTAAGGGGTACTACAAGGTTCTACAATAAGGTCCCCCTCAAAGGGTATTAACGGTTCCATAACAGGGTCCCTTTAAAGGCATTTTCGGATTCGATAATCGGGCCCCTTTCAAGGGTACTACAGGGTTCTAGCCGCGTAAGGTTCCATAAGGTTTCTAGGTTCCTTCCAGCTTTCGGGTTGGTTCCATAAGGTTCCATAAGTTCTTTACGCATTCCTCTAAGGGGTCCTGCACACGTTCCACTACGTAGGCAGCGTAGGGAGTCCAAAAGGGTTTCTATGAGGGTTTGCTTCTTGGATGTTAAAATCGAATAGCATTGTTACCTTTAGTTATTCTCGAGAACAATACATACCAGAACTGAGTATAATGCATACCAGGACTAAATAAACCTCAAGCCCGAAGCAAACACTGTAACATAAACACGGTGATTCATGAACCACCAATCACGGGCCGCCAGCGTAGCATTTTCATGGTAACTCTCATGAAGGCCCTTAAATCGCCCCCTATCTTGAGCTCTAAATCTGTCGCCGCAAGGCAAAAACAGGCCTGCCAGAAGGGTCCTGTAGAACCCTAGCAGAAACATGGTCGAAATCCCGTAGAGTCCTAGGGCAACCACCGAAACCTTAACCCTCCATCCTTATCCTAGGTCCTACACCCCGAACCCTTAGCCGCCCTCAAGAATCCCAGACCAGAAACTTTGTAGAATCCTTATGGAACCCACCCTACATCATGAACCCGGGAGTTCTGAAATCCCGCAATCCGAACCTTGTACGTCGACCCTTCTAGAACCGTACTCCTCCTGGAACCCTAATCCTGAACAACTAGGTCCTCACATCCTAAACCCTAAACCCTGACGGCCCTTAAGCCTAACCCCTGGAGCTTGAACCCGAGCAGGACACAACCTTCTGAAAAGAATCCCAGTAGAACCTCCTGGTTCTGATTACGATAAATCCCCAAGTCTCAAAGCCTAAGCCTCGCAAAGCCCTTACAGAAAATTTACAACCCGTAACTACGTTCAAGGTACACCCTGCACCCTGAAACCCTTGTAGAACATCAGCAGATGTTGTAACTCCTATGCAGGTAAGCCACAAGCCTAAATCTTATTTAAATCCCAAGATCCTACGACAGTCCTGAATCCTAAACCCAAAGCCCTAAAAACCCCAAAGCCTGGAGACCACCCAGAGACTCCAATACCCCTTAATTAAGGAATATACCTTATATTATGGTAGGATCCCTAGTATGATTTAAGGTCTTTCGGGCTTCATATTATGATTCAAGGAGTATTCCTTAATTGAGGGGCCCCTTGGGCTCTCTGGGCAGGTGCGAAGCTGCCTTCCCCCCGTCTGCCTGTCTTTTTGAGATGCGAGTCGACGGCTCAAGGCCAGCATCCGGTTTCTTAAGGGTACTCAGAAATAATTGTTCATTTTTGGTTCTTATAATCCCTAAAAAAGAGCTAAAATTAGAATTGTTGCTAGGGTTCTAAGTTCAGAAAAGTGCGTTTGCAGGGCTCTAGAACGCAAAGCCCAAAACAGAAAAGCCCTCAACCATCTTCCCCAAAGCCTATGTTACCCTAAACCCCAAATGTGTCCCAAGACCTTGGGCCCTAAAGCCATGTATTACCCTAACATACCCTATAAAAACGTCTAGTTTTGACAACCACCTAAATTCCCAATGTAGCCTCGTGTAGCCTAGGCCGCCAGCGTCATGGACCCACTTGATACTACGAAAGCCACCAACCACTAAACCCCAATTCCTAAACCATAAACCCGGGAAAAAAACTATGGGTTCGTTATGGATGCGACTCAGGTTGTTAATGTGTTTCAGGGGTGGTGTCCCAGTGTACGTTACAGGCCGGCCATGCCGGGACTAGTATGGAGGTCTTATCAACTGATACCATAAACTCTTGATTATCCTACTGGTTTACATTCGGTTATGCTCTGAAACCCTATGACAACTGTAATGAAGGTCCGTACGTTTGTTTGCTCCATAGGCATAGAAGTTTAAGGAACCCTTGAAGTAACGCTGGGAGGGGCCCTCAAAGCAAGAGGGCCTGACCAAACTCTTGTGGAAACCGTATACAAAATCTAACGCCGTATAGAACCTTCACGGAAGCTAAACCCTAAACCCTGCATACCCCAAATTCTTTATCTCTAAACCCTAACCAAGCCCTATATACCCCCAAACAGACCCTAACACCCTTGCGAGGCCGGATACGAGGACTTGCGGCGGATCGCGGCCGGGTCTTTGTGGCAAAAAGCGCGTGCCAGCTTTCCCGTTCGACCGGTTTGGGACGTGGAGCTTACCTTAAGATAGACCCTAAACCCTACAGGGGCCATTGCACTTAAGAAAACACCTCAAACCCGAGGCCTGAGGTTTAACCCTAAACCCTAAAGCCTAAGGCTTAGGGTTCAGGTTCAGGGCCCTGGCCCTAAACCCTGAGAAGCTCTCCATCTCCGGAGTCTATTCTCATGATTTCCCTAGACCCCCACAGCCCAAACCCTAGAATCCTAAACCCTAAACCAAGGCTGAACGCAGGAGCTTCCATCAGCAGACGTCGGGTTTTGGGGTCCAGGAACCCAGAGGATCCATTACCCCTGAAGCAGGGGATATTTCTTCAATCATGTTAGGGATCCTACTCTGATTTAAGGTCTGTTCCTTAGTTGAGGGATGTTGGAGTCCCTGGGAACTTCACGGGACATATTCAGGCGACGCTGTTTAATTTTAAAGTGTTCCGACGCGGGCTCCTTCAAAGGGTTCTTTAAGGGGTGGTGGGTTCTGTACATCTAAGGATTCTTCACATGTTGATTTCCAAGGGCTTCAAGAGTTGCAGCAGGTCTTTGTTTCGTCAAGCTGAAAGTCCGATACAAACGCACCTATACCACAAATAAGTTCTTGCATTCGCACGCAATCGCCTGTGTGCCACCAGAAAGAGGCGGTGGCACCTCAACATCACAAGGCTTCCTCAAAACCTTGAAGAAGAGTGGAGTGATGTAGGGACCTGATTAAGACCTTTATTAGGATTCCTCACATGAATCGACTATTTTGGGGTTTATAGGCGTTTCTTAATCGTTGGGTTCCTTTTTGAGGGCATCCAAATGCAAGAAAAGCTGATAACTCAAAGCCCTCTCTAAACGTAACCGACAACCTCAATTAGCCCTGAACCCCCAAAAAACGGCAAATCCAAAGACGCCCCGAAAACTTACGTTTGGTTAGTAGGGAATGGAAGAATAGTAGTTATAGTTGTACACCATTCATCCATTTTCGAATAAGACAAGGTAAGAAGAAGGAACCCTAAACCCTAAACCCTGAACCCTGAACCCTAAACCCTAAACCCTAAACCCTAAACCCTAAACCCTAAACCCTAAACCCTAAACCCTGAACCCTAAACCCTAAACCCTAAACCCGAACCCGCTCTGCATGAACCGTGGCTTCCCTGGCTCAGGGCGCAGGGTCGCGGTCGAGGTCGGGGTAGTAGCCGTTAAACGGATCCACCGCGATGGCATCTAGGCCAGGCTCAGGGTTAAAAACTTAGTAGCTGAGTGGATATAGGGTTTAGGGTTCAGGGTTTAGGGTTTTGGATTTAGGGTTTAGGGTTCAGGGTTTAGGGTTTTGGATTTAGGGTTTAGGGTTTATGATTTAGGGTTTAGGGTTTAGGGTTTTGGATTTAGGGTTTAGGGTTTAGGGTTCAGCAGCTCCGGATCGAGCAGTTTTAAAGTAGGGTTGTGTTTACGGTTTAGGAATAACACCCACCCTCAGAATCCCATAACATCAGGGAAATACAAAGTTTCGTTTCTTTCTTTAGTTTAAACTACTCTTACCGAACGCTAGCACAACAATAACATCGTTAGCATCTACCACTCTTGTTTAAATAAGTTGCTGTTGATGTTTCACCAAGGCCAAAGCAAACCTAAAAAATGTATTTTTACCAACCGCTGGTGAAGATAGTTACTTAAAGAAAGAAAGCACCGACCGAAGCAGCTGAGGCTGCGGTCACGCCATCGCTTCACGATAGCAACCACAGTTATCAAATTCGATTTCACGTCTTTCAATGTTTCCACATCGGACTGTGTCCACTGCTATGCATCGACTTGGTCGACTTGACAGAAGGCCACAGTGCTGTTTCTTTACATTCGTTGAATCACAAAAATATTGTGTTGTTGTTGCTGATGGACCTGTCAAAAAGTTGAAGGAAAAAAGGCACTGCTTGAAGCAGCTAATGCTGCGGTCACGCCACCGCTTTACGATAGCAACCAGAGCTGTCAAATGTCATGACTTGCATCTCCTCAACTCTCGATTACCAACAAAGCACAAAGCAAGGGTCGCCACAAGGCTTCCAAACGAATTCCACTTCCAGAAATGGCCTTGTTCACGAAAAGTTTTGGCCTTGTTCACGAATTCCGCTGCCAGAAATGGCCTTGTTCACGAAAAGTTTTGGCCTTGTTCACGAATTCCGCCTCCCGGAAATGGCCTTGTTCACGAAAAGTTTTGGCCTTGTTCACGAATTCCATAAAGGTTGGGTCGAAATGGCTTTGTTCACGAAAAGTTTTGGCCTTGTTCACGAATTCCGCTTCCAGAAATGGCCTTGTTCACGAAAAGTTTTGGCCTTGTTCACGAATTCCGCCTCCCGGAAATGGCCTTGTTCACGAAAAGTTTTGGCCTTGTTCACGAATTCCATAAAGGTTGGGTCGAAATGGCCTTGTTCACGACAAGCTTTGGCCTTGTTCACGAATTCCGCTTCCAGAAATGGCCTTGTTCACGAAAAGTTTTGGCCTTGTTCACGAAAACCATTAAGGTTTAAAAAGCTATATGAAAGAGAGGTTTAGGGTTTAGGATTTAGGGTTTAGGGTTTAGGGTTCAAAATTAAACGTAATTGTTAAGGCCTGTATATTAAATTAAACCCATGCAGTATAGAAAACCGTAGGCCCTAAATCATATAGAACTCTCTGAACTATGGTAAAGATTAGTAGCGGAGTGGATACATTTCACACTCTTTGAATGGAGAATATCACCCACTATAAAACCAAAAGTGTACACCTTTTGGGGCTTATGAACTCAGCAACTAAGCAAAAGTTCACGTTGATAAGCATAAGGGGTTACTTAGAGGGCTCTGTAGGGTTCTAGAAGCTTGTACATTAATTATACAAAGGGTTATGACGAGGCTTATTGCAAGGGTTCCTAAACCCTAAACCCTGCCTCATGGCTTTGAGAAGATCTTGTGTAGGTGCTCCAGGAGTTGTGAGCAATCAGGGGCGAGTTAGGGTTTAGGGCTTAGGGGTTTAGGGTTTAGGGTTTAGGGGTTTAGGGTTTAGGGGTTTAGGGTTTAGGGTTTAGGGTTTAGGGAGAACAGGCGGCATAGGTTATGAAGACTCTGAACCCTAATCTCTAAGCACCAAACCCAACATTCTAGATTCTGGGGCCTTGCCTTCTAAACCCCAAACCCTGAACCCTAATGCCACGGGCTTTCAAAACTCCAAACTCCAGACTCTCCGACGCAGCAGTTCCAAGCCTAGTTCTACGAGAGGTCCACTGCAACCATGGGTGTGGCGCTGGGCGCCATGGGCGCAGCCTCCTTCGTAGCCCAGGCACGGGGGTCGGGTTTCGAGAGCCACGCGAGTTTCATATAATCAGGGCCATACAGAGGTCCCTCATAAGAGTCATGATAAGGATCCTTTTTAATTTGGGGTGACAGATGTTCTGAGGGTGTATGTGCCATTATGTGCTATCGCGAGAAGCGTGAGGCACATCGGACATGAACCCCTAAACCCTAAACCCTAAACCCTAAACCCTAAACCCTAAACCCTAAACCCTAAACCCTAAACCCTAAACCCCGAACCCCGAACCCCGAACCCCAAGCCCCTGAATCCTTAGCCCCCCATAACCCTAAAGGCCCAAAAAACCTCAAAAGGCTCGAAGCCCCCAAACCTCAACGGCCCCCCCCAAAGGCCCTAAGCCCTTAAACCCCAAAGGCCCCAAAAAAGCCTTAAACCCAAAGGCCCTAAGCTTCATACCCCCCAAAAGCCCTAAATCCCCAAAGACCCCCCAAGCCCGGAACCCCAAAGGCCCCCAAAGGCCCTAAAGGCTCCTAAAGGTGAATTTTTAAAGGGGTTCTATACGGGCTACTATAAGGGGTCTAAGGGTTACTCTAAGGGCTCCTATAAGGGGCCTAAGGGTACTCTATTATGGGGGTTTTCGAGAGGCCTTCGTGGCACCTTCGGCAGCACCCGCAGCACCTCAGCTTCGGGGAGCCTCCGAGGCGCTGAAAAAAGGGTTGAAAATAGAGGACCCTCATGTAGTACCCTAAATAGTAGGATCCTTAAAATAGGGAATCCAAAATAAGGTACCCCTAATTTTCGGAAACTCTTAACCCCAAACCCTTTCTAGGATCCCTTGTAGATCCCTCCAAGGAGCCCTTATGGATCCCTTTAAAGGAACCCTTATGAAAAGGGTTCTGCCGTGCTTAGAGACTCCAATACCCCTTAATTAGGGAATACCCCTTTAAATCATATTAGGGATCCTATTATATTTAAGGCATATTCCTTAATTAAGGGATATTGGAGTCTCTGTGTGGTCCCTGCTGCTTCCGGGAACCTGATAGAGGAACTCTGGGTTTGAAGGTTTTGGTATTGCGGAGGATTCTTTTAGGGGGCGTAGCGTTGTTATAAGGGTTCCTCTATAAGGGTTTAGGGTTAGGGCTGAGGATGTAGGATCTTCTGAGGGCTGCTGTAGATTCTTTGTAGGGTTAGAGATCTCTTGGCTTTGGGAGCTTAATCAGGGTTGGGGTGTGGGCCTAGAGTTTAAGGCTTGGGTTGCAGGGTTAAACCGGGTTTGGGATAATCCGGTTTTGGCCTGAGGTGCTGTTGAGGTTCAGGGTTCAGGCTTTTGGTTTCAGGGTGTTGGATTCGGCAGGGTTACAAGAATAGGCTCGTGGGCATGTTTTGCTAGAGTCAGGAGCCTGTTCGGGAAACTTAGTTTAGGGGTTCAGGGCTTTAGGGCTCTAGTTCGGCTGCAGAGGTTGACGGTTTTGGGCTTAGGGGGTTCAGGGGTTCCAGGTCAGTCTTACTTCAACTATTGGCAGCGGAAGGTCGTCATGAGAGTTTTGCAGGTTGAAAGGGAGGGGCTTCAGTTGTCGGGTCTGAGGGTTTAAAGTCCTTTGGGGTGCATTAGACTTTCGGGTTCATGGTTGTCGGATTGAGCATGTAGCTTGGTTCTTGCTTCTTCGGTCAAAGCTTTCCTCCGGTTTGATGCATGCTGAGCCACGAAGACTGCATGGTGACATGTTCACTCCAACTTCGCAGTATTTTGATAGGCCTCCTGGTACAAAGCTTCGGGGCTTTGGGTCGAGAGTCAGGGAGTGTGAGGGGCTTTGGTTCTGTGGAATGTTTTTGGAGTGCTCCTTGGAAGTTTTGTGTAGGCCTTTTGCATCATACGGGCTTGAATATCGGGGGCTCAAGAATTAGAATAGGATTTTGGGGCCCAATATACTGTAATCATCATAAGGAACCCTAGACTAGTATTGGTAGTTATTTAAGCTCCGATGTTATATGGCTTTGCGGAGTTTGTTCGAATTTGATACACTAAAGGACCCCAATTGGGACTGCTGTGGTTCTGGGAAAGTTGAGTTTTGTTGTCTGGGCTGTCGGGGGCCCGTTCTATGTTGTGCTGGGTCTTCCGAGTGTCGTGGGTTGTTGAAGGGGGTTCTACACTTCAGAAAAGAGTCCACCAGAAACTCCCCAAACCCAAAACCCTATACCCTACCATCCAGAGCCGTCCCTCAAGCCTCCCTGCAACAGGTGTCTGAGAAGACCAGCGGACGTAGCCAGGTGCCTGTGCCCCTCTTTGTGGCTTTTGGGACCCGAGGTTGCTGGTTTCAGAATTTTTTTTGGAAGAAAACGCACCTCTCACTGAGATGGGCCCTTGAGTTTCCAGACGGAATGTCTGAGTGAGTGAAGTCTTGTATTGGTTCGAGAGAGGTGCAGGGTTTAGGGTTTAGGGTTTGTAGGGTCCCTGAAATTATCCCTTGTCTGCATCGCCCTGAAGGGCAGCGGTAGGCCTTTGTTCGAGATCCATCCAAAAGCCTTGAACCCCTTGAGGAGGTCAGCGCTTGCAGGCTTAATATAGGGCTAGAGGGGTCTATAAGGGATACTATAAGGGTACTATATATAATCTAGGGGCCTTAATAATTACCTACTTTATTTCGGGGGTTCCTTTTTATGATTGTAGCATAATCGGCCCTAACGACCTATTCTAATTATTAAGGTCTCTGGAGACCTGCTCCCTCGTTTGGATGTGTGTGTGTGTGTTCTTGATATACGTCTGTAGCCTAACCTCATGGAAGGTAAAACACACGACCTGTATCATCAACAGCAGTTCAATCAAACCCTTCAAGAACCCGCACGACCTGGCAGCCAATGGAGAGGCAGTAGCGGCCACAGCAGTCGCATCTGCAGCCCTAGCCGCTGGGCGAAGAAGGACGTCTTAAATTTTCAGAGTTAGGGCAGGGCTTAAGGCCTGGGTTTTTTCGAGGTTTAGGGGGGTTTTCAAAAATAGGTGTCTTTGTAATGAAAATCCTATAGTGTAGGCGTAGGCCCTATTGGGGTCCTTTCTCCAGGTCTAACTTGTGACATTTTCACCTTATCGCCTCCACGTTCTCATGCCGACATCCCATACCAACAGCATGTTTCATAGTCATAGTCTCTCCTCCTCCTCCTCCTCCGCCTCCTCCTCCTGTCGCCAAACGACGATCCATGTGGTGAAGCTTAAAACCCCAAACACAAGGCCCGAACCAACCCTTAATCCCTTAAGCTCTAATCTCTTAAGGCCTCTAGAGCCTTGCAACATCCTCTATCGCTCTGTAGAACCTTGAAGATCCTGTACCAACGCCATAAAACCCAAGCATGTTTGTCTTTTTGAGGATGCGCTCTTAGTAACATAGTAAGCTTATACTTAGAATAGGGTTCTGGGGTACGTTGTAGTGTCACTATATTTCGTAGTAAAATTACATAAGGACCTTGATCCTCATCGATTCGTA